CATATGACCCAGCAACTCCACTCCTAGGAAGATACCCAAAAGACTTGAAAGCAAAGACTCAAACAGAGACTTGTACACCAATGTTCACTGCAGCACTATTCACAATAGCCAAAAGGTGGAAACAACCTAAATGCTCATCAGCAGATAAATGGATAAACAACATGTGGGACATATATACAATGGAATACTACTCAGCCAGTAGGAGAAATGAAGTTTCTGTACATGTTACAGTATGAATGGAACTTGAAGACACTATACTGAGTGAAATAAGTCAATCACAAAAGGACAAATACTATATGACCTCACTTATATGAGAAGACAAAAAGGTAAATGTGTAGACAACAAAGTCTCTTAGTGATTACCAGGGGCAGTAGGGAGAGGGAAAAGGGAATGGGGTATTGGTTACAGAGTACTGAGTTTAGTTTACAGGGACAGAAAAATCACATTGACTAAAGGTAGGGTTGCACAGCCAATTAATATAACTGCTGCCAGAAAGTTGTACACCAATAATAAGCTGAACTGGCAAAAGTTGTGTGATAGATGTATTTACAAAAAAGAAAGAGAGAGAGAGGGAGAGAGAATAGCTACAGAGGCTGCTTATATACAACCAAACACCTCTTGGAATTTGTTTCTTGGTTTGGAAGGTTAGGGTCATGGTTTCAGGATATCTCAGTTAATTGGCCTAATTACGTGTTCTTCTAAACTAAACTGGGAACTAAAGAACAGGTAGGCTTACTGAAAATAAAGTATATACAAGACAAAGATAATAACACAAGCTTTGTACTCTTTAAGGAAACACACATAATTAAAATGATTTATTGGGGGGGCAAAAAACATTTCCCTGATTAAATATTACCCTGAAAATAAGCAATCACTGACAGGGAAAAAATGTTAATTATTTTTAAATTAAAGGAAAAAACATGATCATTATATCCTATGTAAAACATCTGTTTAAAAAAAAAAGGTCTAAAACCTATATAAGTAACTAGAATGAAGTCTCTCAAGAACTGGCTTTAGAAAATCAGATCTCAAACATACAGAAAAGGGATTGGACTTAGACATGGAAAGCACACTTCCACAGCAATAAAAAGGAAGCCATTCACTAGTGTTCCAACTCAATACAGCCATTCCACATTCTGCTGAGGTTTATGTTATTAAAATACTGAGTCAATAAAATGTTACATTAAAATAAGAAATCAACACGGAAGATTCTGTGAAAGTAAATGAAATTGCTACCTTTGGCCATTTGGGATTGAGAAGTCGGGCTTTGATGGCATCGTCCAGTGCCTTGTCATACTGCTGGATTTTCATGTAGGCAGCAGATCTATTGCTGTATAAGATGCAGTTCTGAGGGTCAACTGCCAGGGCTTCATTATACAGAACAATAGCTGTGTGGAAATCTCCATCATGACAGGCCTGGTTACTCTGACGAACTTTCTCAACAAACTCAGCTTTGCTCAGCACTGGTCCATCAGGACTTCTTCGGCCAATAGTCTTAGCACCAAAGAAAGGAATCTACAAACAAAGAAACTCTGTCAGATCAACTTCAGATAATCCAGAGGAGTTCCTTATCTGAATCTCAAGAGAGCTTGAACATTCTTCATAGCCTGCTTTACATAACAGTTAACTTTTGCACCTTGAAACACAGTAAGCTTCCCATGAAGCAGCAAACATAGTGCCTCAAATCTATGTGTGTGAATGCATACATATGTGTGTGTTTATTGACAGACTGACTGATTGAGATAATTAATAAATGTCAAAGAGCACTCAGGCTTTTCTTTGCAAATTGTTATACTAAGGAACAAAACAATATACAAGCCTATACAAAGAGTATGATCTCAACTATGTTAAGATACTTATACTTGAAAAGTAATGAAAGGAACAAGATAAAATATTTAACTATACTAAATTATTCCTGGACATGATTATGAGGTTTTCTCTTAAACGTTTCTCTTTTATTCAAATGGTATACAATGAGCATAGTCAAGTGTTTTTTTTGTTTTGTTTCGTTTTTGTTTTTGTTTTTTTAATAAACTGTTAAAAATAAGTTTAATGTATCATTGAATATTTTTTAAACTGTCAACGTTTAGTAACACTACCATGGAATTTCAAAGACAAATACAAGTTTTTGGAAGCCACTCAAAAACAGAAAAAAATCTGTAAATTGCATTCTGGCAATTTAAGACCTGTTTTCAGTGTTGATTTTCAGAATCACCAAGTTTTCTGTGACTTTATAAAAGTGATCTCAAAACCAAAAGGAGCTTGAACCCAAAGTGAGATCCATATATCTAGGGCCAACTGATTTTCAACAAGGATGCCAAGTCCATCCAATGAGGAAATAATAATTTCTTCAATAAATGGTGCTGGGAAAACTGGGTTTTCATGTGCAAAATAATGAAGTTGGACCTATACCTCATACCACGTACAAAAATTAACTCAGCTGGATCAAAGACCTAAAAGTAAGAACTAAAACCATAAAATTCTTATAACAAAACAGAGAAGAAATGTTGCAAAACACAGTTTTCAATAATGGATTCATGGATACGACATCAAAATCTTAAGCAACAGAAAACAAAATAGACAAATAGGACTTCATCAAAATTGAAAATTTTGTGCATCAAAGGACTTTCTCAGCAAAGTGAAGAGACAACACAAAGATTAGGAAAAATTATGTGGGAACCATTTATCTGATATAGGTTTGTTATATATTAAATTGTGAGCCCCCAAAATACGTGTACAAATGCTAACCCGTGAAAGTAGCCCAGTTTGGAAACAGGGTTTTCTTTGTTATGTTAAGTAAAGCAGACCGAAGTCGGGTAGGTTCTAAAGCTCATCATTACTGAGTTATACAAAGAGCAGGTCAGACACAGAAACACACAAATGGGGGAAGACGAATGACACGTGTGGACCACCAAGGAATCAAAGAACACCCAGGGTTACTGGCAGAGAAGGAAGTGACACAGCTGAGACCCTGATTTTGACTTTCAGCCTCTCAAATTACGAGAAAATACATTTCTGCTATGGCAGCACCAGAAAACTAAGACAGGTTTACTATCCAGGCCACATAGAGAGCCACCATAGCGCAACACAAAAAGACAACCCATTTATTTTAAATGGGCAAAGGACTTAAACAGACATTTCATTAAAAATGATAAACAAATGGCCAATTAGCACATGAAATGAAACTCAACATCATTAGTCATTAAGGAAATGTAAATCCAAATCTCAATGAGACACCACTTCATCTCCACTTGGATGGTATTATCAGAAAAATAGGAAACCATAAATATTGATGAGGATGTGGAGAACTTGGAACTCTTGTCCACTGCTTGTGGGGCTGTAAGATGGTAAATAATACAGCAGCTAAGAAAAACACCAGTGGTTCCTCAAAAAGTTAACCGTAGAATTACCTTTTTGTTTTTCTTGTGCACCGACAAGATGGGCATAACTCATAGAAACCCTGTATGACAGAGGAGGACTGCCGCACAGGGTTTCCTAGTCTATAATCTTTATGGAAGCAGATCACCAGGTCTTTTCTCCCACGAAACAACTGGTGGGTTCGAGCCACCAATCTTTCAGTTAGCAGCCAAGCGCTTAATCACTGAGCCACCAGAGCTCCTTTTAGAACTAACTTGTTGTTATGTTATTATGTGCCGGCAAGTCAGCCCCAACTCATAGCGACCCCTCCTTGGGTTTCCGGGGCAGTATCACTACAGAAGTAGATTGCCCAACCTTCCTTCTGAGGAGCGGCTGGTGGGCTTGAACCGCCAGCCTTCTGGTTAGCAGTCAAGTGCCTTAGGCAAGAACTAACTTAAGACCCAGCAATTCCACTCCTAGGTATATACCCAAAGAAACTGAAAGCAGAGTCTCAAACAGGTACTTGTACGTTACTGTTCATTGCAGCATTACTCACGATAGCCAAAAGATGGAAACAACCCAAGGGTCCATCAACAGCTGAACTGATAAATAAAATGTGGTTGTGGTTATTGTTAGGTGCTGTCGACACAGTTCCAACTCACAGAGACCCTATGCACAGCAGAAGGAAGCACTATCTGGTCCTGCATCATCCTCAAATCATTAAGGTCTGAGTCCATTGTTGTAGTGACTGTGCTAACCAGCTCCTAGAAGGTCTTCCTCTTTTTCATTCACCTTCTACTTTACCAAGAATGATGTCCTTCTCCAGGCACTGGTCCCTCCTGATTCTAAGATTTGTTCTTCTGGCAGTCATGGTATACTCGGTATTCTTCACCAACACCATGATTCAAAGGCATCAATTATTCTTCTGTCTTCCTTACTCAATATCCATCTTTCGCATGCATGTAAGGCAACTGAAAATACCATGGTTTGGGTGAGTTGCACCTTAGTCCTCAAAGTGACAACTTCACTTTTTAACACTTAAAAACAATGTAGTATACCCATATAATGGACTATCATTCACCCATAAAGAGAAATGAAGTTCTGATATAGGCTACAATATGGATGAATCTTGAAAACATGCTCAGTGAAATAAATTAGACATAAAAGGACAAATATTGTATAATCCTATTTACATGAAATGTCCAGAATAGGCAAATGCATAGAGACCAAAGTTTATTAATGGTTACCAGAAGCAGGTAGGAGGCGAATTGGGGGAGTGTTTGCTTAAGAAGTACTAAGCTTTTGTTAAGAGTTATGAAAAAAATTGGAAAAAGATAATGGTGACTGTTGCACAACATGGTAAATGTAGTTAATGTCACTGAATTGTTCATATAAATGGACCATTTGGTTGAAATATTTTATTACATATATTTCACCACAAAGTTTGTTTTCTTTTGTTAAAAAAAAAAAAAGGTACCATGGGGCTTAGTATACCATAGCGGCTAGGATGGAGGGAGGGGGGCATGGGACAGCTAGGAAGATGAGAGATTGCTGAACTGCAACAGTCAGAAAAATAATCTAAATTTGACAATGGAGAACAAAGGATGCTGGCCCTTTTTCTTTGTTCTCTATGTTAGGGATGAAGGAAGGGGAAAGTAGAAGCCTGCACTGGGAGGAATTTCCCAGGAAATATGATTATTACTGGGAAAGCCAGGTTTATTTATAGAAGTGAGGCAGAAAAAATATTTGTGACAAAGAAATAGAGGGTAGAGGAAAGTTCCATAAAAACAAGATGCAAGGGGGGATTACTGAAATAATGACAGGACCTGGTAGCACAAGAAAGCAAAGACTTCCTCTAGCACCAGTTAAGGCTGCTCAGAAATAGTCTGGTTCACAAAGCAGACATAATATGGACTTGCTCTGGCCAATGAAATATGATCAGGTGACATATGGCACTTCTGGGTGGATGCTTTGCAAACTAGCGGCACAATTCACCACATTCTCTTGCCCTATGGCAATCTAGGAGCATGTGTCATAATGGTGGTTTAGTCATCTGAGCCCAAGTGACTGCACAGCACGGCACCCTTGGTAACCTATGTCACACATGCTGTATGAGTGAAAAACAAATTTTTGTTGCTTTAAGTCACGGAAGGAAAAAAAAGAGGGGGGAGTAAATGAGTCAAGTGTTAATTCATTTTTAAAACAGAAAAATTATAAACTGTACTAGAGTCCCAAAGGAAGAAATTTACCACAGTAATATCAAAAGAGGCAGCTTGCAGTTCTAAGCAGGCTTGCCCTAAGTGAATGTTTCTTTTTCAAGTATAATTTTCCTTCCCAGGAGCTCTGGTGGCATAGTGCCTAAGGCATTTGACTGCTAACCAGAAG